CACAGCACACCTTGCTTTTCAGACTGATGAGCTTTGTAAAAATCGACGCGTTTCAGAAAGGCGTGGCATAGAGGAGCAACAATAATGTACAGTATGTGGAAAATAATGTGTTTTTTGAACCTTAAACCACATAAACACATTTCATTACACCAAATACACAAAATAATGTTTTTTTTAGCAACATCATATGACCCCTTTAATAAAAAACACCCTGCCACAGAGCGGATTGTAAACACATCACCATAATAATTCATGTGTTATGAAACAGCATGTAATTATAACAAATTATAGAATCTACAAGGGGTTTGTGTAGGAGAATGAAAGATTCCCTTAATAAGATTCATAAGAGCTATAATGTCTTACCGTACAGGCCTTTCCTGGCAGGGTTGACAATCGAAAGGTCATTACAGGGACTTCCACCAATCACCAAGTCAAACGGCCCCCATTCAGCAATCTGAGCAACACAACAGCACCATTTAGTGTTAGCACAGCTGCACCACACATTCACCTCACCAAAATCCATTAGTTTGTTTCCAAATGTTTTATTACAGAGTGCAACAGTGACCACCCACTTTTTTAGCTGCCTGGAAGTATTTTTCCCATAAGGAATTTATTTTCCCACCTCACCAAAATCCATTAGTTTGTTTCCAAATGTTTTATTACAGAGTGCAACAGTGACCACCCACTTTTTTAGCTGCCTGGAAGTATTTTTGAGGACTATTGAAAATGACTATTGATGAGGACTATTGAAAAGTATTCATTAAAAAGTTACAAGCCATGAACCATCTACGAGATGAATCACAACATTACAAACCTTTGATTTGAAGCAAAAACGTATTTGAAAAAAGACAAAGGTACAAGACTGTATACTTAATGGCTTTCATGATGGAAAAAATTACAATCCCATAAAGCACTGCTAATGACATAATGACATAACTTCAGAGAAATGGTTTAAAGATCTTGATTATTTCTTTCTTTAATGGTTTATAAGTTATTAATAATCAATCCCCCTATGGAGAAAATGAATGGTATTTTAACTTTCAGAATGCAACTATTGCACTCTATTTTGAATTCCTACTTTTCTGAAAACATTTAAGGTTCCAACATGAAGTGCAAACTTTTCTGGTTGATACTGTTCCTTGAGTTGATAAGGAAACTCCCAGAACAGTAATTTGGTGTAATTATCAGTCACTGAGGTCAAAGGCGGCATTTAATTAGACTTTCCAGATGTTCTGCTGAAGGAAACCCATGCTTCAGACACCTGTGGGAATGGCCTGTGTACATCTTTACCCTTGGCACATCTGTGTGTGCCAGTGCGAGAGCGTGTCTGCAGCTGGACTCTTTTCAGGCCTTCTCATTCTTTCAGTGTTTCATAAATAACCCAACCCAGGGCCCCAAAACCCCCCTCCAATATATCCCTTCTCTCTTTTCTTCCACGACAAGAGTCCTTTCATGCGTCCCTCTCTGCACTCCCGCCCAATCCAGCTTGGCAACAACAATGGGTGAGTAAATGAGTGATTGAATGGGAGGGTGAGGCGGTGAATGGATGAGTTGAGGAGAGGGGATTTAGAAAGGGAGAAAGCGCTTTTGTGTTCCGTCACTAAGGCTTAAGACAACTTGCTGCTCCCTGTGTGTGTCTGAGCGTTTGAATGTGAGCTGGAGAGATAATGGAAGCCAAACAGAAACTTGGAGGTGTGACGACAAAGACCAGACTCAGGTGAGGCCATTAGCCTTATCAAGCGCTGTTGGGACAAGCAATGCACTACTAAACAAATAACTTTGGGCCAGGTGTGTGTGGCCTGTGAGGTGACAGCGCCAATCAGTCTCGCTCAGTCTTTTATCAAATGAAACAGATGAGGGAACAGAAAACTGAGGTCTGGGTCTTACTCGGTTAATATAAACCCTGATTATGTAAAAACAGCAGTAAAACTGACCTCACAGACCTGAACAATCATTAAATAGTCTTCAGTGAAAATATTAAATATAGAGTGGCACCGAAAAGGGTTTTGTTGAGTTTTTAGACAAAACAATAAAATAAGGAGCTCAAACTGCTGAAATATTTTAAAGACTCTAAATATTGCACAACACAACTTTACATTTAAATATCTATATCAGAGATGAATTGGTGGAGCAGCCAGAAACAGATAACTATTAACTCACATTTTTTCTGGTGATGTTGCGTACGTCGTGCACATACTGGATTTTTCCTTCATGCCGGACAACTCCCACTGAAATGGAGTCCTCACATACTTCTGATGCAATGTACACATCAACCTTAAAGCCCAAGTCTCTAAGCACTAGATAACCTAAATTAAGATAAAAAAAGCATATTAAGAAAATCTGAGTGATTAGCATTCAAAATCACTAGTGCCATATATATATATATATATATATTCATATTAATATACAAACAACATAAAGACAGTATATTTTTCATATTTGTTTAGTGGCATCTTTTTTATGTCTAAATACGAGTATCACTAGGCGTGTTTCCATTACAGATTTGCGCAAAACTTTGGCGATATTTTTTAAATGTCGATAAAAAAGTATTGCGAAATGACGGCATTTCCATTAACCAATGTTATGCGACTAAACCGTAATTTTTTTCTTCTTGCGATAAGTCATGGCAACGGATTTTGGTGGGATTTTGACAGATTTTGGCTATATTTAATCGAAGGAGAGCCGCTTCAGAAACGTGCGTGGTGCAGCTCGTATAAACGCAAGCATTGACTAGAGTGGCCGAGATCAACTCCGGTGGCTGTGTCGGAGCCGTAATGCACCGCAGACGTGTGCATTGTAAATTGTCTAAGCATTAATGGCAGGGAAAGCCCTTATACTTGAGAGATGCCCTGTATGAAGTGTTTCTTGGAGGTTAGAGTACATTGAAGAATGATCATATGACATATGACATTTTTACATACGCCATGTCACCTGTAAATGCGAAAAAAAAAAAAAAAAAAAACGTTCCCATTGCAGTTTTGCGAAATATTCCTTTTTCGAATTGCCTGAAAAACCACCTCATGCGAGCATAAAAACGTTTTTGCGATAAATGGGAGTTTTTGCGAAATTGACGCGTTTCCATTAGGCGTATTTTCAATTCGCAATTTCAATTTGTGCAATTTGAAGGGTAATGGAAACGCAGCTACTGATACCAGTACTGATGTCTCTATGAAACTGACCATTGATTATAGCCAATCAACATTACAGTATAAATGAGAGCTATCAATTTTAACATTTATTAGACTTTAAAAAATATCTTTTAATTTAACTTAAAACAACCTTCATAAAAACCCATTATAATAAATGTCATATTTAGCTACCTGTGCCCTTCAGCAAGTAGGAAATATACAGAAATTGAATAAAGTAATCAAACACTAAATTCTAAATTAAATATAGATGAATCCTTAAAACTATAAAAGTTTGATTTCATTTTTTCTTTTGTTATTTGATTAACAGACATCACAGCAGCTGGGTTATTAGGTTTTTGGCTGCTATTTCTTTAAGAGCTGCCGCTGCTAAACATGACACTGATCTGACACGCATCGTGTTTTCTCACAACCTTTTATATTTAATTGCGCTTTAATATGAAATTATATACAGCACGTCGGCGCATTTGTGTGTACAATTGAAGAGCACGTTACAAGCACAGTATGGCCTGACAACATCTCATCTAACCGAAGCTCCTCGTCATCATTACCGTTTTTCATTTTCTTTTGACTCGTGTCTGGCACTGAGGCAAATTGTAGTGAGCGTCTGAAAAGCCTCCTGTTTGATGCTGTTGTAAAGACATTCTGTGCGTCTAAATAAACGCAATTTCAATATGGGGTGCTGTGTGTACATTAATGAGGAAAAAAAATTAACTTAAATGATTTTAGCAAATGGCTGCAATATAACAAAGAGTGAAAAATTTAAGGGGGTCTGAATACTTTCCGTACCCACTGTATATATATATATATATATATAGTTAACTTTAATTAATTTCATTTTGTTTGTGTCATAATTTTATTTGTTACTAGATAAAATACCAATGGTGCAATGGGGTTCTGGGGCCCACTAGGGGGCCTCAGCAAACTTCCCTAAAGTTAATAACAAACTTGCCCTCAAAAATAATTTTAAATAACTTAAAACAAGCATTAAAATAAACAAAAATGCCTATAACAGGATGTTCATTATTTGAAATCACGCTCATTTTCTTTAAAGAAAAATAGTCTATTGAAGTATCATTTATAGACTTATTTATTTATTTATAGACTTAAAAGTCTTGTAATTTGAGAGAAACTCATTTTTATAAATTTTTCATTTCCTATATATATATATTACTGACATCTGTGAATCACTAATTTTGATAATTTACCCAGAAAAGGTGAATATAGAATCCAAAGAGATATCATATTAACCTGTGGCAATGCCATCAAACAGTGAAAGGACTCTGATTGAACGTCTCTGTTCTGCTGGGACCGCAGGGTAAATCTTTGGACTTTCCTGAAAGAAAATGAAAGTTAATATAATTTATAACTAAAAATCTACAGTTTTGCAAACAGAGTATTTCCCTCTGTATAAAGGTTAACGTGAGACTCACAAACTCCTGTCCATTGTCATTGACGAAGAACTCTTGTAGTTTCAGGCTCCAGTCGTGGCGTTTCTTTAACACGCCGTACTGCTGCAGAGGCTGACACATGTAGCAGCGCCATGGGTCCAGATCACGAGCGCTGTTGGCCGCTCCTGCTCCCACTAATATATCCAGACAGTCCACACAGAAACACCTGCGAGCAGAGACACTGATCAAAGACATCCTTTAAAAAGGCAAATGAAACGGATGGTGTTAAAGGTGAAGAGTACTTTTTAAAAATATTTTTTACTATTTGAGTTTGATGTGTAAGCCATTTGTAAGGTGTCACTATGGGGTGACACTATTAAAACAATGCATTTAGTTTGAGCTGCCTGACAAGAGTCTGAAAAGCCTAAGTTTCAAACAGGAAAAAAAAAGCTCTTAGCCAGCACTGTAGATCAACTGCAGAGAATAGTATCACTGCAGCAACCATATCACATAATTATTGTACAGTTCATCAACAACCAACAAACATTTCCTATGGGTGACAAAAATGATGGGGAGCAGAAAAATCTTTTTGAAAGGATGAAAGTGTGCATTTTATGAATTTAAGGTGGAGTACATGTGCACAAAAAGCGCAAAAATACAGTACAAAGTCTAGCACCTGAACCGTCAGGATTATGTTTAGTTTTATGTTTATGTTTATTTTAGTTTTGTGCTTTTGTTCATCTGTCCGTCTCTCGTTTATACTTTCGATTTAGCATTCGTCTTTATTATAATTCGATTATGAATAAATACTGTATAAAGCAATGATAATGTTTTCATTGCTTTCATGTTCTTATTTTTATATGTAATTCTATATAGAAGTTTTAAGATTAATTCTGTATTGTCAATTCATTGGAACTCAACTTAAATGTTTAAAAAAAATAAAATAATACAGAGTACAACTGTCAAATAAACAAATTAATTTACCATTAAATATAAAAAATACTGTGTTAAAAAATTTAATTAATAAGTCAATTAAAACTAATACAAGTTAATCATGCTTCTTGAGCCCATAAATTTCATAAAGATTTTTCAACCATTTGCGCAATTTAAGTTTGAAATATCTCAGCAAGAACATTTAAAATGTTACAAAAGATTTTTTTTTAAATAAATGTTGTTATTTTAAACTTTCTTTTCATGAGAGCTGCTGAAAAATCATTTTTGCTGTCACAGGAACAAATTATGTTGTAAAATACATTACAATAGAAAAACAGTCATTTAAATTGTAATAATATTTCACAATTTTTAATCAAATAAATGCAGCCTTGATGAGCATTAGAAACTTCTTTCAAAAACATTACAAAATCCTACTGGGCCCAAACTTTTGAACAACAGTGTATGATTATTTTCAAATAATCAGCATACTATGTCATTAATATGATTAAAATGTTTCATTGATTGATAGCCCAAATAAAAGAGTAAATATATCACTGTACCTGCAACAGCATTAGGTTTGAAAAATGCAGTTAGAATAAAACTGCATTATTCTAACATGCAACAACTGCTTGAAATGTTATTATCAGTGCAACAAGTGTAATTGATTCATCAAAACTGGCAGCCTTCCACTGAAATAACTAAAGAGGGAAATTTGATAATGCTACTATTCTAAATTGCTGGAAAATTGGCAGATTGGCAGCATTTTGTGGCTAATGGTAAATAAATGACACACTTTGCCTTTAAAGAAAGCCAATATGTCAATGCTGAGGAAGAGAAGAAGACAAATATCTGAACGGCTCAGAGATTGCGGGGGGGTATGGTTGTTTGGGCGGTTATGGAAGTGAAGTGTGACGAAATGCCAAGACGCTAGTGAAATGAAATGCGAGATTGAATAAGAGATTGTGGGACAAGAACAAGTTTGTGAGAAGCGTGCATTCGGTTTCGTACCTGCAGCAGTTGGCGTTTCCACAGAGCAGCACCTCTCTGCCGCCACAGCACACGGTGCAGTACGACTGGTAGCCATCATCATCATACATGTAGGAGATTTCCAAATAAACATCCTGACACATGCACAAATAAAAACACGTGTAAATAACTTACATAGCTAAGTGTCCTACCAACCAGAATCCCGAAGCAGTGTATCGTGTTGCTGCAAACAGAGTGTAACAGGATAATGAAGCGATGATGGAAATGATCTATGGTGAAATCCATACATGCATGGCACTGTCCCCTTAAGGTAATCAATAGATACAATACTGGTGTCCAGGTGTAAGGATCGAGTGCTGTTGTTTGACACTTTTATGAGCAATCATGTCAGCACGTGTTGGAGAACCATGTTCCCAGACTCTCGAGTTGTGTTCTCGAGGTCAACTCTTACCTTGCATGTTAGGCAAAGGCCTCCTTCAAACAGCGGGTGAAAGGTCGCCACTCTCGTCTTTCCACAAGAGAGGCAGAACTCTGAAACAGGAGAAAATCAAGCATATTGACAGATGGCTGAGTCAAAATACAAGAGTAACTTGTTCTTGCAACTATCCATAAGAATGGGCTAAAAAATAATAAACCAATGAGAAGTGTTTTGCAAAAAAAATTAAATTAATTAATTAATTAATATCTTCTCTGCATTTCTTCTTTTCTCCAGCTTGCTTTCTGATCTAGTTGTCTAATAAAGCTGAAATCATATATTTCAAATATTGAAATTTTTTTGCTCCTCATTTGTAAGTTGCTTTGGATAAAAGCTTCTGTTCAATGCATAAAAGTATACTCTATGCCATCACTTTACAACAAAAGTATGTCTTTGAATATAGCTATGATCGAGTTACATAATAGCTGTATATTTTCCAGATATTAGTGCCAATTAAAACCCTGATACTTGTTTGTAAGGAAAATAGGAAAATAGGGACGCACCAATATTCTGGTTGATACAGGTCAGATGGTAATTATTTCATGTTTTGGATGGTAAGTGATAAGTAGCTGATTCTTAAAATTCTTATCTATTTTGTATAAATAAAAAAGACACTAAAAACTAAAACAAGTCATTTGAAATGCTGCAAATGTAGGCATAACAGCATTATAAATGTACAGTATGAAAAAAGGATATACATTTATTTTGACATCTGCTAAAAACATGCTATATTTAACAGTGATATTAAAAATCAGTGTAACTTTAATTGAGCATTAGATGAATGCAAAGGTAATCTGAATGTAAAATGTAAATGAAGAAATGAGCATGAAAAATGTTATATCCAATATTGACTGATATTGATTTAAAAAAAAAAAAACTAATTCCAAATAAATTCCGAATTCCTCTAATTCCAAAATAAATCTAAATATTTTTACTGGCAATATATATATATATATATATATAGCAATGAATACTTTCCGTACCCACTGTATATATATATATATATATAGCAAGCAAATATTTTTTGAAATATATGGAGGCTGAAATAACAGGAGAAGACAGAGGAGAACAGTAAAGAGAAGGGATCACCTGAGGCGCCAATGCAGTATGACGGAGCACTGTTGGGAGCCACGTTTTTGCATTCAGCCGCACTGCTTTTTTATTGTTTTTCTATGTAAACGTGCTAAATGGACACATTTGACCACTGTGTTTGCATCTTTTACAGCACCTCGCGCATGACGCGCAACTCAAAATAAATGTAGTCTAGCTCAAACGTATAAAAAACCTTTCTTAAGACCTTGCCGTTTTTCATTCCACTGCCCTATACCTCAAGTTTTTTTTTATGGCAAAGTTCTGTGTGAATGGCTCCTAATGTGTTTTTTATTGGGTGAAGGCAGTACCTGTAACAGGTAGCAACATTACACACCTTCTATACTTCTGTGATTCTTCAAAACTTCATGGACCATTTGTTCTGAAAAGCAGATGAATTGCCAGTCATGAGGAACACATTATGAGAGTTAAAGCTCAATGAAGTCCAATGCTACTCAATTGCACAAAAGTATATTGCAAATATATAAATCATTTAAAGGGCTAGTTCATTCAAAAATGAAAAAAATTGTCATCATTTACTCACCTCATGTCACTCCAAACCTATAACATTTTATTACCTACTCCTAGACTTTAAATGGATGGACAGAAATCTCTCTGGTTTCATTAAAAATATCTTCATTTGGGTTCTGAAGGTGAGTAAATTTTCATTTTTGGGTGAACTAATCCTTTAACATCACATTTGGTGTGCAGCAGTCACACATGAACATAAATAATAGCACATGTGTGAGCTCTAACCTCTGCTGTAGACGTCCTCAGTGCCAGGTTTGGCCTTACAGAGGCTGAGACGAGCTCTCTTGGCAGAGGGGGGGAACTCCGGAGAGCTGGAGTCCAGCAGCGCTGAGCTCTCTGAGGCCAGGGGAAAAACACAATACTCAGCTGGAAGAGACACAAGTAGACTTATATTACTCACTGTTACAATCAAACATGCTCACACATGAACTGTAAATAATGACATTTACATTTCATAGATCAGGCACTTAGATAATAAAGCAACTGTATTGTGAGAACTACTTCAGCAGCTGGCTAATCCCTATAGCATTACAACATAAAATAAATGTTATAAATAAATGAGAAAACATGTTAAAAAGTGATACTTTACTGGTCACAGTGACTTTTAAACTTTTATTTTCTAGAAGAAAAAAATAAGAAAATATATTTTGCATGAAGAAAACAAAGACCATTATGATTTATTGTATTGTGACATTAATTTTATGATGATTAAACGCCCATTTGTGTACTGTAATTTTAAAACGATTTATGTTGCTATATATATATATATATATATATATATATATAAGTGCTGTAAATTGATTAAAAAACCTTAACTAATCGCACATTTGTTCTGAAATTAATCGCGATTAATCCCACCTAGCAATAACGTTTTTAAATATACTTTTATATTGCAATCATTTTACATTCAATCTTCAAATTAATGTACAAACAACATGTTGCCGAATTTTAAGTCCAGCCCTATACCCGTCACTACACAACAAATAACAGCATGACCGGCATGCTGGTTACCTTTGCATTGAAGCAATAATGAAAAGTCGAAAACACCTGAAGACTCACCCCGTGTCTACACCAGATGCAACAAAATACAATAGAACCCATTATAATCAGTGATGCTGTCTACACTGGATGCGGTGCGGCACAGTACAACAAATCCCCGACAGTAAACTGATGCCTCGTTCTATTTATGACGAATATATATATATATATATATTCAATTATTTATTTTATATTATTAATATTAGTGCAAATTTACCTCATGGCAATGTTATGTCCAGACAGGTTCATTTAATTACTTTTTTAAACAATTACAGTAATGCAAATTTGTGGGGTAAATGTGACGCTGTGAAAATAAAGCCACATTACAAAAAAAATCTTAATAAGCTTCATTTTCTTTGACCAAAATATAATTTCTTATTTTTTTCCCTTTTGATTTTGTGGCAAATTATGAGCCTGACATCGAGAAACTATCCAAGAGAAATACAGCCATGAATAAGCAGACAGGCAGCTGTTAGACAAAGCACATCTGTAATCACTGTGGGAAAAAAGCCAGGGATCTATAAAGTTGTAAAGTAATTAGATATGCTATTTCCTCTTTCTGATTCCACTGTAAGACCACACCACCAGAGCCAAGCATTTCTGCTTGCTCAGCCGCAGAATCCAGTGATTATTTTCAGTGTCTTGATGCTAAACTGAAACATCTCTAAATAGCCTTAGGTTTTTTAAGTATCGACTATATGTAAACACTTACTCTTGGCACGGTTTTCAAAAAACGAAATAGTTGATAGATAAGTTTCAACCAGAAAGTTTTAGAAAGATACTTAAGGGCCTGACTTGTTTAAATGAGATGAAACACCCCCAAACCTTGCCAACAAATGTCTGCACCAGCTCAGCCTGTGAATATTGCCTCAAGTTAATATCATGTCAATAAGTAATAAAGTATGAAGTTATTTCTGAATGTTTCTGGGAGATATCAGAGCATTTCGAAGAAATTTAGTTCTCAGCTTCAAATTTCTAAGAAGCTAAATTAAACTAAATTTCTTCGAAATGCCCTGATATCTCCCAGAAACATTCAGAAATACACATAAATGCATATGTGAGTGTTTAGTTTTGGTTTCTGTGTGTTTGAATGCCAGCTGAATCACAGTTTGAAGCCATTGTGCAGTCCATCTTGAAGCGTTTGTTCTCCTAAAAACTCAAGGTATAGACATTTTAAATATGATGGACCAGCTTGAATGAATCCCAACAGAGGTCTATGATCAGACACACTGAGTTGGTGAGTGAGTGTGAGAGAGTAAGCTGCCAATACCTGACTGAACCCTAATGCCTGAGGCAATACCACAAAGACTTGACAGCCATAGAGTTCCACAGAATTTAGACACCCTTTCTTCACAAGGTTCCACACATTCTGTGCAATTTCCTGTTTGTTTAATAATTATTTTGCTGTTTTATTTATTTTAATCAAATTATATA